TGTCTGGCTCTGCCAAACGGTGAAGTTGCTGCCAGTATTTTGAAAGTTGGCCCTACTTTGAGCAGCTATTTCGCACTGAATTTCTTCCCTGCCGACTACGTCATTTGCACGAAAGATGAACAGCCGTACATAGGCTGAGGGTGAAAGCCTCCAAGAACACATATGGTCCTTACAAGAACTTTAGGACCACGGGGACCCTTCGGCATCTGAAGCGGAAAGAGTGAGTCGGGCAGTTAGGCAGTTGCATACGCGTTTTCAGGTGTGCTTAAAGGGTCCTTCATTCCCTTCACTCGACGTCCCCGCTAAAGCAGCGGGAGATACTCAGGCCGTGATGGTGGCGGAGCTAGAATACCAACTACCGCTCCCGCTTCAATCTACTCTCGAGCCACCCTGAGCGTGACACGGTCGGTCTAACTCAGTGGCCTCATCAACGGCCCTACCAAGGGCTCTAGACCGACTCAGCCACCACTATCTGTCTGCTTCGTCTGCCTTCCAGTCAACAACCCAGAAACGTGAGACACCCACACCGGGCGCCTTGACCCAAGGCCAGCCTAGGACACTTTTCGCTTGGACAACTACCCGAGGAACAACCAAGCAACACTCCCGCAAAGTGCTCCCCGCCCGATAACGGCCACAGTGTACTCGACAATATGATGAGCGATCTTCCGTCTACATTCACTATCCTCATGGCCCACGCTGATAAAGCACCAGTCGTGATGGTTTCCATGGCAAGAGTGAAGGTGTCGGCTCTTTTAGATACTGGCTCAGCTGTTTCTGTTTTCGGGGATCACATCAAAATTGCCTGTGAGATTAAAGGCTTAGTCTTGCAAAGTGTAAACACTAATCGGCACGTGGCCTCTGCTTATGTTGTCCCTGCTACTCTTGCAGATGGTTTAGGGATTACAGTCAATGGACAAAAACTTCAGCAACGTTTCCTACACCTACCTGGACTTTCCTGCCCCGTGATTTTGGGACGCAATTTTATAGCCGAGTCAGGAATCGTTGTTGATGTCCGTACGGGCACCTACAGCCATGGCATCAAAGCAAAACCACCCACGTTAGTGACTACTCGACAACGCCAGTCCGATCTGCTTACAACAAATGTCAATCCTTTCTTTGAGACCAGAGAGGACTTCTTTACCATTATCAAATCCTTTAAAGGGCCATCAGAGCTAAAAGCAAAAATCGAAACAGACCTAAAGCCTTTTGTGGCCACGTTCACAGAGGCTCCTGGCAAGGTTAATGTGTTGAAACACAGGATCGACACAGGTGACGTCCGCCCTATTCGTTACAATCCATGTCCCCCGAGCGTCACCAAAAGCGTGAACTTCTGGATGCTGTCCTTGACGAAATGCTCACCACCGGTGCCGTAAAAGCGTCCAACAGTCCCTAGACATTTCCTGTTGTTTTAGCTCCAAAAAAGGTTGGCACGGCACAGTGGTGCATTGACTACCGGCAGTTAAACGCCATCAAGATTCGAGACTCGTACCCTTTTCAATCAGTCAACTCTGTTATGTACTCCCTTGGGGCCGCCAAATTTTTCACTACCCTTGACTGTACCAGAGGCTTCCTGCAAATTCCGTTAGCAGAGTGCGATGCTGAGAAAATGGCATTTACTTGCCACAGAGTATTGTTTGAGTTTTCGAGGCTACCTTTCGAATTGTGCAATTCACCGGCCACATTCCAGCGCGTCATGGACATTGTGCTTCAAGATAACAAATTCAATTATGCAATGGCTTAAATGAACGACATGGTAGAGTCTTTTCACAAACCTTCGACAATCACCTGATCCACTTAGCCACCGTCTTACAACAATTGCAAGACGGAGGCATCACCATCAACCCCCGCAAAGTTCATTTGGTCTCAAACAAGATCAGCCTCTTAGGTTTCATTGTCGAGCAGGGCACAATATAGCCAGATGAACAAAAACTTCAGGCCATCCTGCATTTTTTACCACCAACGAGCATTAGGAGCCTGCAATGATTTTTAAGTAAGGTGGGCTTCTACCGCCACTTCGTTCCTCGCTGCACCGATCTGGCAAGACCACTTCACACGCTCCTGTGCAAGGCTGCCAGTTGGTCTTGGACTAACACGGAGCAGGCAGCATTCCAGGCTCTGTAGGAGGCTATCGCTGATACAGCACGGCTGCACCTCCCTGACCTAAACTTACCCTTCACTGTACAGGCCGACAGAAGTGAATATGGCCTTGGAGCAGTTTAGCTCCCAGAATATCAAGAAATGCTCTATCCACTAGCATTTGCAAGCCACGCACTCTCAGGCGCAGCAAGCAACTACACAGTAACAGAAAAGAATGTCTTGCAATCGTATTCACACCGAAGACATTTGACATGTATCTGGATAGAGCTGCATTTACCATTCAAACGATCACCGGGCGCTGTCATGGCTGTCAAAGCTGGAAAACCCATTTGGTCGTCTAGCCCGGTGGGCTCTTTCTCTTCAGAAATATAATTACTGAGTGGAGTACTAGAAAGGCACCAACAACAAAGTGGCTGACGCGCTTCCCCGAGCGCCACTGCCTAGGTATGGTCAACCAGCTGCCGAGATCCTGGTTGTGACAGTGCCTGAAGATGCCTGGGGAGCACTGGTCTGGCCCATCTAGCCCCACCAGAGGCAGGGCCACTTGAGGCACCGAATTTTTTTTTATTTGTAGCTGTGATGGATTCGCCTAAGCATAAGCATAATCATGATTTGCCGCCACAAGTCAAATCAACGGGCTGAATTATTACCCCATTTTTCGCACCAAAAGAAATAAACAAGAAAAAAACATCACGAAAAACAAGAGCGAGGGGTCCCAAACGCTTGCGCAAACATTGGCGTTGCGGTCTCATAATGGCTTCGAGTGGCCGAACACACGAGGATAGGGTTTCCTACTAAGGTGAGTCACGGGGGGGGGGGGGGGGGCAAATGCTCTCGAAATTTCGCGTCATCAAGACAACTAACAAAGAAATCGATTTTCGTCAAAACAACTTGCGTAAGTCTTCACACGTGAACGGACGGGACGACGCCGCTGGCTGCCGCGAAAGCACAAGTCAAAGCTTTGGCTTTGCTCGCTACCAGATTCTTTGAACAGGAACAACAAAACGCGTTTAGCCTTTTTAACGTCTTCACCACCTCTAATCTACCGCTGCGTCAGCCACATGCCCTCAGAGCTCGTAGATCACTATCGCTAAAACAACTAACAAAGAAATCGATTTCCGTGGGCAATGCGCAATGCGCATGTCAATACACATGGGCAATGCGCATGTCTTTTCTTCGCCGTGCTTCCAATATGCATGCTGCAGATAAGGACCCATCAGCCCAACACTTTATTTTTTTATTTAATAATACTGTCAATCCAGTCGGGGATTTTTCGAAGGAGGGCAGCTGCATTTTGAGCTGCTTTCTTAAAAGACAAAGTAGCAACAAAATTGAAATTAATGTTGCAAATGGGAGATGCGATGATTACACATTGCAAGCTCGACTCATGCACTCACTGATATAGCCTGCAAGGTAAAATATGAAAATCGTACTTCCTTAAATAGTCATAAGAATGCATACATAAATTTAAGTTAGCACTAAAGCCACAGAACGTAGAGCCTTAAGGAGAATTCAAAATGAGCACGCACATGTAAATACATAGCAGCCAGCAGACAACAAAAGCAGCAATTCACGCCAGCCTTGTTCAGCCAGTGGCCCTAAGGCAGCAACTCCGCTTGATCTTGTGGTTAATAATGCATTTGGCAATGCTTCACCATAATTACACAATACAATTTTAGGCAAGTTATCAAGTTTAAGCAGATGAAAGATTATATTTTTGCCTTTCCGTTCATTTTTTCTTGCAGAATGATAATATACTACTGCACTTTTGCATAGAAAAGACAAAAACGACTAAATCTTCCTACGGTAGCTTCATAGTACTACACGGTGGAGTGCAGGTTGCAGGTTCGATGTAGCAGCTGATCTAATATGTGGGAAGAATGATAAAATAATCGTGCATCAAGTGGCAGTTCATGTTAACAAAAGCCACGAGTAATCACCAAGTTCATTGCCAGCTACCTCATCATGAAATATTGCCCGATTGTGACTTTGGGCCATAAAGTGGCATCACTTAATTATTAGCCATATGGTGTACTTTAAAAGGTTCAAGAAATGAAAATAATACCTTTAGCACTGAAGCAAGATGTGCTCAAAGTCAGTACACTAATGATGGTTTACCCTTTTTAAACCCGTGCCCACCATCACAGCACTATAGCGTTCTATCACAGTAGCTATAACGTTCTGCTGCTGTGCATGAGTTTGCAACGAAACTACAGTAGAATCTCTTGAGAACCTTAATAGACCCGAAAAATATGTTCTATATGTGAAAGCACTTTCTGTCACATTTAACCAATGTCACATAAAATGTCACATAAAGTCATAAAATGTTACAATGTCACTTAAAAAGCAATCAAAGTAAATGAAGTAGTTCTACTCAAGTTAGTTTTATTCCGAGTTTCTAGCGCAAGTTGCACAAGTGGCTTCAAGCAAAGCATAAGCTGCTTCCAGTATTTTCGTCGCTCCAGATAAAATGCACTTCAGTATAAATATTAGAACATAATCAGTTCAAGATGAAAAAAGCGAGAGAGAAAATAAGAAAAGAGATGCAAGTCAACTAGGTGACCTATCTGATTGGCTATTTCGCACTCCAGAATGGGGCAAGTGCAGAATAGATGATGGCTAAGGTTGAAATTGACCGAAGCCACGTAATGATGTCAAGTTGACGAGTGACAAGCTGCGCAAATGGCTCTCAAAGAAGCAATCCATTGATAAGAAGGCCCTTACAAAAATCGAGGCAGTTTTATGTGCAGGAATAAACATCTGAACACGAAGGCACTCTAGAATGAACAGCTAAATAAAGGACAAAAATGTTAACAAGGTTAAGCAACAGGGCTTGCAATGGTTCGGATCAGATGCTTTTGTAATAGTTCACTTTTATGAGCACAACTTGACCGCCAACTTACTTTCCTGATGTGAAATTGTGGTAGTTATGGCAACCTTTGTACAGTGCTAGGACCTTATTTACTTCCTCTATTCTTTCATCTGGAAAGTAAAGAAAAAAAAATGATCAAACAAAAATTATGCTTTTTTTACCTACATATAAACCACAGTAAACAGACAGCATTTTCACGAACATGAAGAAGATCACAATTAAATTACACAGTTCACTTTTCCAATTAACTACAGTCCACAAGCTTTCATGTAAGCCATTCGATGTTAATCAGGATGGCATCCCTCATAACCATACCACGGTTTCGAAACGTAAAACCCCAGACGTTAAAGTTAATCAGCATAACACAAAGTGCAGCATCGTCATGATCCCTTTTCAGATTATCTGAGCTACAACAACTTTTAACACTTATTACATATCTGTATGCAACTGGTACACACCAGACAGTGAAAATTTTTTTAAATACATATTTCACATTTTTCCATAAATAATGCCATTATATTAAAACAAATTTTAAAAATCATTGCAATTTATTTTAAAGAACACTTTGTTAGCTACGCAAAATCTGCTTAAACAGACAGTTTAAGCACTTTAGAAGACAGTTTTTGGTAACAAGTAGAGTATTGAAATAAAGAATTACCAAAAGCTTATCTCCTATGATAGTTATTATGGAATATTTTTGCAACTGAAAAATTAAGATAATCATAGTATTTAAAAATAATTCAAGTTTAGTATGATTGACCTTTTTTGGAGCATTTCATGTGGTATTGTTGCATGACTATCTGAGTTGTCATCAAAAGTGATAACTATAGTTGAATCGTTGTTATAATTTAGTTCAGTTATTTTCATAATCAAATCTGATCCTCAGCCAATTAATTTTGAATCCACGGGAGTGCATCTTTACACCACTCAAGCCTAATGATCACAGAGCTACGCGTAAGTAGGAAAAAAAAGTCACATTTCATCAACTGAGAACAGGAGCAAGGCTTTTATCAGCTGCATCCAACTTGCCAATAATATACTAATTGCAGGAAGCTAGGTAATGACTAGAGCTCTGTGTTTTCGGGGTTTACTTTTCTTGAAATTCGGAGGGTAATCCCGTGGAATAAGTAAATAAATGTACCGTACGTGCTCAGAATGTTCTGAGCGCCTGCGGTAAATATGAAAAGATATGTATATCTGACCAAAATGATACCTCCGAGCCGGAGAGCCAGCAAGTTGGCTGTTTGGTAGAATGCAAACACACGAGTTGAAATTAACCCCAGCTGAAAGTTTGAAGGGGCCCACAATAGCCCTACAACGCAGCCAAAACTTCTAGGAAATGTAGAAGTGGCACCATCTCATAGCATCTGTCTAAAAGGGGGACCCCTGAGCCCGGCCAGTTCCACCACTGGAATATATTCTAGTTTGCTATAATGGTTACAGCCTAGGCCACTTAGGATATGGATTGGATTGGATTAGATCAACCTGTATTTACTGACTTTACTAAAGATGTGGATTGGATTGCATTTGAAGCAACCTGGATTGCTGTATTTACTGTTGATCTACATCCCAATTTAAATTGTACACCTCTAATATACATCTTTCAGAAAAAAATATAACTATATGCTACTCGTGTATTTTGTGCACCTTGTGTTGACAATGACTAACAACGTTGCAAGAGCACAGCAGCGTTGCATAATTTTCTTCTTTTTTTTCTTCCTTTCTTTCTTTTTCTATGACGAGCACATGCATTTTGATGTTTTATTTCTCTGGGCTCTGGCGCTTAGAGTTCAACAAAGTCCTCAGATGCCTGCAATGAAAGCTAGGGGCAGCGTTGAAAGCAATAACATTCGAATATGTGCAGGCAAGAAGGAACCTGTGTGGTTGCATCAGCTCCCTTGATTCCACAGAGTTATTGCAAATGTGGGCAGGTTATCTTCGCTTTTGTACTCTTCTATGAACATAATGCTAAAAACTAACCACAGATTTAATAATACCACCTCCATAAACTGAAATGAGAAATTTAGGTGAGGTTACCCGACTCAACCCTTAAAACGCAAGCTATCAGCAACAAGTGCGTAGCTGAGGATGCTTGCTGTTGCATCGCAAAAATAATAATGATAGTAAAAAAATTTGTCAGATCCCACGTAAAGTGGGAATCGATATGCAAAGCACGAATGAAAAAGGTTAATATGTCACTTTAAAATCAGCAAAATGTTACGAGACGAATGTAAATTATGCCGAACAAGACTTCCATGTCACGATTATCATGCTTGCACCTGGCATTTGTGTTTGTCGTCCATTCATGTGAAGATAGCGAATTAAACGCAAGTGCACCATCAGTGCGGCCTGTAATCATGACTTATATGACATGCACGTCATGACTTCCAAGTTAGGGTCTGTCACTTATGTTCAGCATGCAGTTGTGATATACCATACCAGTTTTGCAATATCTCACGAGAACGAAACCACCACAAGAGCAGCAAGACCATGACATGTAAAGCATGACATTCATGACATACATATCATGATTTTCTTTTTATGACGGCCAGGAGAGCTAAAAGTCGTAGGCGGCTAGATAATCGATACGGCCAAAGTCGCCGAAGTTTGCTAATAAATACTTCGCATTTCATAATAATAACAATAATAAACATCACATAGCCTGGCAAGCCTCTGCCAATGGCAGTTATATCCGAACCACAAGGTCTTCAAGCTGAGCCGAAATCATGGTCAAGACAAACATGCAGAAATTTACCTATGTGTGTAATGTTGTTCTTGGAAAATCAGATATGCTGTGCGATATGTAGGCAACAGCTATCAAAACAGTGAATGTATCAACATGGAAGCTAAGGAACACTCTGGACAACATGAAGGACAAGTTGCCGAGCGAAAATTTCCACGGTCTTCTTTAGGCTTTGGGCTACCACAATTGTTACAACTAGTACATCGGTGAGACCACTGATTTCAAGAAAAGAGTTAAGCAGCATGAATATAGCGACAGAAAAAAAGCCGTGACCTCATATGCCCTCGCTAAACAGGTGGAATGTACAGGCCACTAAACTGACTGGTCAAGCATACGTATTCTAGCTAAAGAAAAGCTTTCATCTGCCTGCACCTGGAATAAGAACACATGCAAACAACTGTACCTATGCTGAACAGGAGTGATGGGACCCTTCTGACAATGTAGTCCCGGTGCTTAAGTCATGTAATTAGGCATACTTAAATACCCCGTGTCTTTCTCATGGCTATTATTGTGAACAAAGTTCCTATAGTCGGTGCCATAATGTCACCAAACTTTGTATTCTTTTGGTAGGTGTATCCTTTTGCGTTTTCACTAAGAAGCAAAAGTTGCGCACTTTTTTTTTTCACACATCATTCAGTTGTTCACTGTAGTTGCAACTGAAGAAGTGGCTTTTGAAGCTTTGATCAATGATAATGCTTATTTTTGTGACAGTAGCACAGACTGCCGTCGGTTTCCATGACCAGGCCTGATTTTTCAGAAATTCCCCGACTTTTCCAGAAGTCTGGTGGTTTGGGCTAGTTGGTATGACATGATGATAGTTATAGCGCGAGAACAGATTGACGACAAAGAACGTCTCCTTCTTGTCCCTTTGTCGTCGTTCTCTTCTAGCGCTGTAACTATCGTTTTCCGGAAGGGTGCAAATTACTCGACTATTCCAGGTTTTCCAGGTTGGTAGACACCCTGCTTCTCTCTGTTTTGTTTTTCCTTCTATTACAGACTCGGTCTTCAATTATGATATTTTAACAAGCTGAGTCTGGCCATGTGAATATTGGTTCTTTGCACTGTACACAATTCAGTGTACAATGCAAAAAAGTTTCTTGGGGCACAATCAATGCCAGAAACAAAGTGGACGATTGGTCCAGCTGGTGACAAGTGTACTACGCGGTAGAAAACACGGACGGGAAAAAGACCAGTAACAAATCCAACACGTACCTCCGCTGCTGATACTTCAATCATGGCAATGTTTTAAAGCAAGGTTGTTGCAAAAAATTGCTTAGGCATTCTCTATACCTCCTCTTGTCTGTTTTTTTTTTTTCTTAGAATGTTCAGCAGTGTCAGGAGAAAAAAAAATTCTTGTAGGGTGTGCTCAGGTATGAACCCCTGTGCATGTCCAGTCACCCCGTCTCATTTCACTAGAAAAAGACATTTTGTTATTCGAGTCCTCAGGACAACACAACTATTACAGTTTTGCAAAAAAAACTAAACAAAAAAGCATTTGCCTCTCTTAAAAAAAAATCGGAAATATCCACTGTGCAATAACCAATTTCTACAAATTGCATGAAAATGGCATTTTGATGACATCCAACAAGATGCTACTGCACCAGTCGGGCTCAAAATTTTTCTTTGCTTACTATCTAACAGCCTAGCATCATGGAGGTTACCGTTTTACCATTTATTATCTTGAAGTATTATGGCCCTTACTTCAACAAAAAAAATTTCCAATATTGGACATGGTTCAATAATGCCACAACTTACCGTATTTTCGCGCGTCTAACCCGCACCAAAAACCCAAAAATTTCAGTGGCAAAGTGGAGGTGCGAATAATACGCGGGGTTTTTCCTATAGTGCTACTTCACAGCAATGCGCTTTGTGCTGTGAAGCCCTTTAACAGTGTAGCGAAGGCTACGGAGGCGGTTTCCGCAAATTCGTGTTGCTCTGCAAGTAGCACGGCAGCTTGCGACCGATTTTGGTTTCGCTTGCTTGCATCATTGAAGCATTTAGAAAAACATTTGGGGAGAGACAATTCGATCGTTCAGTGTAAAATCTCACTGTCACACCACAAGTATATTTTATGGCCGTTCGCGAGAGAGATAGAGATATTATCAGTAAATTTATGTACTACTTTTTGACGCGGTAGCAGGCATGCATTTTGGTTCTGTTGTTCCCAGGGTGCTGTTACAGTGTACTAGAAGGGGTAGTGCTAAGTCGTGGAAGCCTAAGTCGATCTGTTCTGTCACCATGAGTAGCTTACGGCGGCAGTCCTTCACGGCACAGCAAAAGCTTAAGATCATCACCGTCGCCGAGGAATTCGGAAATCGCGAAGCGGGAAGACGGCACGATGTGGACGAGTCCTGCTTGCGACTGTGG